CATGACTCCAGCATGCTCTTCTGCCGTAGGGTTTCTGCCATGGACCCAGATGAGCATAGCCTAAAGCCCCTTACAATGTGGGCCAAATCTAGCTTCCTTTGCCATGGTGGGTACCAGCTGTTTGTGCCCAGCCTCGGCAAAAGTAAACAGGTAATTCACAGGATTTCCAGAAGGAACCGTCTTAGGCCTGCTAGCCATTGCTCATGGACAAGAAGCTTAATACTCCACCACTGTCTCTGCTGTAGTATGACCACTTATTCTCATCCACATTCTGAATTAGCACCACAACTATTAAACATAATACCTGAGGATTAGAAAACACAATGACTCTTAATCCTTGGCCACAAACAGCACTTCCAGCTCTTTCATTTGATCCCTTCATTTTTCTGCAGCTACAGTTTCTTTCCTATAAATAATGAGCTTATGTAACACCACCACCCTCAGCCCTAACACTGTCCACTGTCACACAAAGGTGACAGACTGACTGGACTCTCTGTGCTCCATGTGAGGTTCCAGGCTCTGACAGGCTCCATTTGGTTTGAAATCAACACCCAAGAAGATGAAATGGGAATAGAAGGCAAGTGTAAGAATATGAACTATATTCACAACCGCCTCCTTTGCCTGAAAAGGTTCCAGAGGAGGCCATCATTCAACTGAGAGCATCTATCACTGCAAAATGTTGACATCAAATAGAAATCTAAACATAAAACAGGAATTAGATAAATTACAAAACATCTACAAAAGGGAACACTGTTAAAAGTAGTAAAATATGACAAATATTTTTGTGATAATGCAAAAATAACAATACACTACCATATCAGAAGTTGTACCTATTATACATGCACACACAAGGGTTAAGTGGATTAGCTACAGATTTTAACAAAGGAAGTGGACGGGGGGCTATTTTGAGATTATTCTTTGCCTACTGTTCTGCTGATATCGTTGAGAGCAGTAAAAATACTTTTATGACATAGACAAAAAGCGGAAGACCTTATTTTTGTTCATAACTTAAAACTGAAATGTGTTGTCTATTCATTCCCAGGGTCATGAACATATAACATACATCATCTGTCACTTTAGGCTTTCACAAAACAGGTAAACCTAAACTAACAAAAGATGGGATTTTAATGTCAATTGATTTTTTAATATATCTTCTCTATAAAACTACAGGAGAAATGGTAAGATCCTAACTGTATACTAACTAAAAACAAACCCTTAAAGATCTGACTCATAAATGGAGGAATACCAAAGCTCAGAGCATCTTCCTAGAAGTATTTTACATGTCTCTCAGGTTTCACTTATTTAGACTGTTCTTGCATTTAGCATCCCTAAGAAGTTAACTGCATCTAAAAAAGATACTTTCAAGTTAACTGAAAACTTCCACAGTTGGTTAAGCTTTTCTCCATGTTCCATTGAGGTAAGCTTGTGTAAGCACATCTCTAGAAGAGAATTCCTATCTCCTAATCTCAGAACCATGGAATTCTGAAATAAGGTCCATGCACCATAAGCAAATGCTTGGGACATTCCCTGATACATTTCTCTGCTTCTGCACCTCGGAAACCTAGACAGCAGTACCACCTAGCCAAAAGTAAAGGGTCAAATGATACACTTCATTAAAAAAAAGTAATTCTCAGTCGAATGAACACAGTGAATCTCTTGGAGGGACAGATGATAAACTGCCCATAGCAATTCCAGGCATGAATGTAAAGTAACAGAGTTAAGTCATGGTGCCCTTTTTAAAAATTGGGCTCCAAATGCAAAAACATATTCATAATCAAAGGCCAGGAATACAGATCAGTGGCATAAGCACTTGCCTGGCAAGCACAAGGTCCCAAGTTTGATCCCTGGTACCACAGAAAACAAAAACAAAATTAAAGAAAAACATATTCACAAAGGGGCATACAAACAACTGTCCAAATAAGTGGTTTGTACCAACAGATGGTACTGTCCCATCATGTCCAATGGGACAGTCTATATACACATACACCATTAGTGGTTCAAGCTGACAGGAATGTGTTAAAAGCCACAGTAAACAGGACCCAGTGGCTCATGCCTGTAATCCCAGCACTCTTAGAGGCTAAAGCAGGAAGATTCAAACTTTGACCCCAGCATGGCATTTGACCTATCTCAAAACAAAAATAAATATAAAAAGCTGGAAAGTAGTTGAATGTAAAGGTCCTCAATTCCATCCTTAAAGTGAGGGAGGCAGGCAGGCAGGCAGGCAGGCAGGCAGGCCGGCCGGCCAGCTGGCTGGCTACATCAACAAAGCCATCAAATTAAGAGTCTTATTACACAAGAGAATTTTAATTATTGACCTGAACTCATGCTGCTATTCTGATGCTGGTTACCTTGCAAAGTTAGTTTAGCTCAAATACCATCTCTTTCCTTCTCACATCTCCTTCCCCAGCATTATATTGAATACATGGGATCAGAAATATCTTTTCACAAGGAGCTTTGTAAAAACTAACAAAGTTAAATAGTGGGAAGTCTATACCTACCCATCTCCCTTCATTAATGGCCAAGGGATTCACAAACACTAAGGGATTTCTAAAGGAAATATTCTCCTTTGTTACAAAGCAACAAACATTTCTCTTCCCTAACCATTCAACTCAGTGTCAAGCAGTGAAGAGGAGCAAGGGGCCAAGAAGTGAGCAAGGGCAACTTTGAAGGTGTCAGGGCCAACTGGGATTAGCCTTGTTCCATACGGCCCAGAAGATGGTAGGTGGATTACACAACATGACTGAGCTAATAAATATACTAAAGACAGCAGAGCCAAATTTATTACTGATGAATGTAGAAAATAAAAAAGTCAGAACCCTCTAGCATTAAACTCAAGTTGGAGATAAGAATGCTAACTCATGGGGCTGGTGAGATGACTCAGTGGTCTAAAGCACCTACTTAGAGCAAGCTTAGCAAAGCACAGGGACTGCGGTTCAATCCCCCAGCACCACATGCCACCCAGCCCCGCCCCCTGATGGACTGAGCTGGCCATACAAAATAAATAAATAAATAAATAAAATTTAAAAAAAGAATGCTAACTCATATTAATATACAACAAACTGTTTGTAAATATCCTCAAGAGCATGTACAGACATGGCCCCCGTCCACAAACAACACTACAATAAATAGTACTCCAACTGCTCTGAGCATACCCAATGCCTGTATCTTGGCTTCTGAACATCAGTGCTCTGTAAAAGAAAAAAACAGGCTCCTTAGAAAACTGGCCAATTCTGGGACTGAGGATGGGGAAGGTACAAGGTGACACTGAAGCACTTTTACTGATAGTCAGCCATGACAAAGGAGGACAGGGACCTATCAAAAGGTCCTTTTTTTTTTTTTTTTTTTTTTTTGGGGGGGGGGGTTTGAGTGAAACAGAAAATGAGTCCACAGAGATACCAAAAAATGAAATTTTAGTTTGGTTGAGAAGAGATGTAGTTTTAAAGAATTTTCTAAAAGATCGCTTAGGAATAACAAAAGTTGCAATGGATAACTGTACACCTCCTGGCAGACTCACCTTAATTGAATAAGCAACATGACCATCATCCAGAAAAGGGCTGAAACTGAGAGCCACTCAAGGTGACCCAGAGACAAGAACAAAAGAACTGCTTTTTATGTTATTACTCCGACCAAAAACACAAATCTAATTACAACAAACAACAGGCAACACAAAGTTTGAGGGACATTCTACAGAATATTGGGCCTGCACCTCCAACTACCAAGGCAACCAAAAGCAAAGACTTAGGACAACTGAAGGCAATGCCAGGCTCTCAACTGAGGGCCCCTGCTCTGAACTCCAGACATGGACAAGTGCTCTCCACAATGTGAAGCTGGGGTATGTGGACTGCATGGGGCATACGGCGTCTGTTACCATGCACTTTGGTGGCTACATGTTTACAGAATGCCAACTTGAAGGAAATACACTAATGTACTGAGAGGTGAGAGGACACCAGGGAGGCAATGAATTCTTAAAGGATTCCAGAAAGGTTACCTATAATACAAAAAACTTAATTCCTTTTATAACTAGCTTTGTTTTTAGGTAAGCATGGAATACTAGCACACACCTATAATCTCAGCACTGAGAAGGAAGATGACAAGTTCACACCT